AGCCTAGAGCATGTCAGAATCACAGCAGCCTATCTGAAAAGGCGGTAAGCTGTGAAATTGGTCGCTTGGTGTTTCGTCGATTGGCGTTGGAAGCTGTCGTTCGGTGACTCTTGCAGGATTATTGGGATTAGTGGATTAGGCTTGACAAGACAGGCGACTGAAAGGCGCAGCAGCACCCGCAACAGCAGCAGCCAGCTAAGGTAAGGTAAGGGTAAAGGTAGGTGGGGGTTGGAAGATGGACGGGAGCCAATGTTGGAGCGCACGAATGCCAGTCAACCTCAGTGCGCGGGAATAGAATGAAGTGGGAGGGAAAAAAGCATGGGAGCATGGGAATAGCAGGGGGGGAGGACCGATCGAGGTCGGAGCTTAGACCGGCAAGCCGGTGGGTGGGGCGAGGCGCCTGCATCGGCCACGGCCAGCAATGCGACGCTTCCCATTGGCTCAGCTCACCTCGGGAGAGGCTGTGATCAGCTCACCGAAAGACCCCGACTCGAATGACACACCGATCCTAGGTGAAGTTCGGTGAAGAACCGGTGTCGGCCAGTACCTCCGAGCTTCTCGGAAAAAACGATCTTGCATGCTCGGCTTTACGTTGCGTTGTCAATCGACAAAACAGGAGGTCAATTCTATCTACTGATTACGAGTTGGGTAATTCCCGCCGGTTTACGCACGACATCATCGACTACCAACTTGACTGGCAAGCATGGAACACGACCTGGCTCGGGCTCCCATGGGTTGAGACGATGAGCACTCGCCGGCGGTCGGTGCACGACATGTCCGATATCTCCGAGAACGGCGCCCAAGACTCTTGACTCTCAAGTCTACAACCAAAGGTCTACAACGGTCTGTGTAAGTCTGCCCATGACGCAAGGCGACCATTCGCGTTGGTGACAAGATTCCCAAAAACTAACTCCTTCGACTGCTATCAATCGGCCGAACCATCTTACCGTTATGCAAGTAGTAAGCCAACTGGTTGTATCACCAGACACGTTTCCCCCATGTGCTATGCATGCTTTCCTTGAGAGAAGGCTTGTTCGGACGTATGTACGGCATGCAAGATCTGATAAAGTCTACTGCGTACATGTTCCGTACTCAGGGTACCGTAACATCGATCTTAGTTTCGTTTCGCGCCAGCACAGATCTCTGACGAAATCCATGAAGCTGAATATGTTTAGTTCGGGAGACCTTGCCCACTGCATTTGTCTTCCCCGCTTCCGGAGGGGGAAACAGAGGCGAAACACATGCCAAAAAGCAGTCGACACGAGCAGGATATGCCGAGCCTGCATACTAAACTTTCACATTTCCGCTTCAAAATCCTTGGCACCAAGTCAAGCCATATCGGTCATGTGTTAGTACTTCACCGAATGATTCACCTCGGTGTGGGTTCGCTTTCGCATTTGCTCAAAGAAATCAAAACTCGCTGAATGACTAACACAAAACTTCTCCTACATGATGAGAAAGGCACTACCGGCAACAACACTGGCCGAAACCATTATCGTCAAGATGGCCGCACCGGCCTTGTCCGCGGTGGTGATCGCCTTAAGAGAATTTGACGACCCCGAGCCATCATCAGTCTTTCCTCCATTTACATCGCCTGTGGAGTTTCCTCCCGTGGTAGCAGTGACGGGCGCCTCAGCCGACCCGACTAGATTATACATGATCATCTGCAAAGAAGTCATCTGCGGTCCCACGCCCACGATCCCATCAAACGTCTCATTCAGCCACGAGAATCCGCACGCGGTCCCCGCATGGCCCTTGAACCCCGAAGCGGGAGACCCCGAACAGGTGATCGCCGCCTTCTTCCCGCTCGAAAGCAGCAGCGCCGTGATGGTGTCCGCGGTGTGCGCGGCGACTTGCGATGTGGCGGCCAGCCAGCGCGCGAGATACCCCTTGAAGCTCTGCGCGTCTTGGCTGCACTGCGCCGTCGGCTCGCAGTAGGCCTCGTAGATGATGTCGTTTTGGACAAACGCCGTCTGCACGTCCGTGAGCATGCCGTCGAGGCGGGTCTTCCACGTGTCGCTCCCCGTAATGTTGTACATCACCGCCGCGCCGTAGAGGAAGATGCCGGCGTTGTAGGACCACTTTGTGCTGTCGGTGGAGCTGGGGCATTTTCCCTCAAAGTGAACGCCGTCGAGTACTTCGTGATCGGATGTGAGCAGTCCGACGTCCGTCTGCCATGTCCAGACCTTTTCTGCCCAGTCAGAGTATGTCGTGTTCCCCGTGTACCGAGCCAGGCGCGCAGCCACATTGAAAAAGCACCCGTTCGAGATGGAGTTCTTGTAGTCGAAACCGGCGTTCCACGTAAAGATTTGCCATCGCACACCGCCGTTACAGTTCTCCGTATCCCATCGACTGACGTACTCGTTAAAGACGGCTTGGACCAGGGCGAGCCACTGCGGTGAGTCCTCTGGCGGATTCGGGTATTTGTGTTCGGCGGCGGACATGGCGGCCATTGCCCAGAAGCCCTGGTCATCGTTTCCTTCTGTAAGGGTTTGATTCTGCGGCATGTAGTCGTTGTCGTCGCCTACTTGATGCAGCATGGCTTGCGTGGTGATTGTGTTGTAAGAGTCATCGCCCGTGAGCCACCAGTAGTCTATCAATGTGCCGAACATGGCACCGGCCTCCCACCCTTGAAACTGTCAACACGAGGCCCATGACAATGTTATGGACTAGACCTACAGTAATAGGGATCTGGTAAGTTTCCAGGGGTATCGCCAGTATTGTTACCAGTGTAGTATTTTACTAGCCCATAGGCGACCGTGCTCGCGGCACTCTTTATTGAGTCTGACATCGCAATAGGTTAGCCAAGGCAAGACGACTCGGCAAACGCAAATACCCTACCTTCATCTGTCCATGTGACATCGATAGCACTGACGCTCGCCAAATTCAACCCCACGGCCAAAGCCGGCAGTCCTAATGTTGGTCTCATCTCGACTTGTTCAGCTGGTAGACGATATAAACGAGCGACAAGAGATCCGAATCGCAGCGCCGAGCTATTCGCAAAAGCTTGGCATCAACAACGACAACGACAGTAACAACGGCAACGACGTAGACATAAACGAGACCGCACGCCGAAGGGGTGGCCCCTCAGGGTAGGGCGGAAGAGTCTTCGAGCTTAAAGGGCATTCCATCACAAGGGCTGTGCAAAATCGCGGGTCCATTTTCAATTTTCCCTCTCTCCACAGCTGACGTCTGTAGCTGACGCGCATGTAACCACGTAACCCACTGGCATGATCTCGGGGTCCATCTTGTTAAGACGATTTCGGCGGTTTCGCACTAAGGCTCTATTAGTTGTTCAATTGTTTGGTTCTAGATGCGGTGGTTTTTCTAGCGCCAGAACAAGTATGGGTTGGTTGAGACTGAAACATACATGTAGAAATGAGAAGCCGTGAACTCCGGGCTGCCGCAATTTTGCATACGACGCTCACCGGGGTCTGGGGGTAGACTGCCGCGAGTGCGTGACTGGCGGCTCCAGAGACGACGAACCGTACGGTCGCGGTCGGCTTTCCGTCTTAGCGTGCTGCGGGTGGTGGGGTGATCTTCGTTCGCGATGACGATCCACCCCTATCCAAACTCAAGTTGGTTCCCTCTCCTTTTCGGTCTTTAGCGGGAACGAAGCTGTGGAAAAGTTGTGGGGGGCTGGTGGACTTACGCGTCTCAGGATGCGATAGGGACGGTGAAGAAAAAAGGGTGCGGAATCAGGGATAGTTGACTGAAACAAGGAACAACAAGCCTGTCAACCTGTCTGTGTGTCTATTTTGGGCTGGGCTCTCCTAAACATATTTGGGTCGACGGATCCCCCATGAAAATGCTTATTCCTTTGCGTCTGCTTGTTTTGGCAGTCAAGACTTGCAGAGTTGCATCGTCGCGCTACTCAGTGCTCAATCGGTGGTTGTCAACTCAAATCCAACTCAAACTCCGAAGGTGATTGATAGTAGGTCTCCTCATGTTCCTCCCGAACCCCTTGCTTATTTCCTATTTTGCTCCGCCACTTCCTCCCAAACCTTTACTTATGATGGCGCTGAGAATGTACGAGAATTATTCCTTGCCCTTCAAAAGCGACATGTATCCTGCAGGTGAACTTCTAGCTTCATTCAATTACGAATTGTCTGAATTTTTTCGATTACTCCCAGGCCGGTCAAATTTCACTGGCAGTTTAGCCGCTGTTTTTGCTATAACGCGATCGTACCGAGTGTTCCGGACACCAACGTTTTCCTACTTCGGCGCTCGAGTTTTCAGAGATGAAGTCAGGGTCAGAGACGCGATGGCCGTAACTGGGCCGCTAAACTTCATAATGATGGAGGTGTTGCGGCTGTGCTCGAAATCGACAAGGTAATAAGGGTATCGAGCGTGTAATTTTCTGACTGGCGGTGAAGTACTGTTATGATGAGCATGAAGTTGCTCCTTCCTCCTTGACTACCATACCTATCACAGCTCACAGCGAGTTGGAGATGACGACCTCTTTCTGGATAGGTACCTACTCATGGCAGCTTTCGAAGAGTTGCACACCAAAAGTCCTAAATTGTAGAGAAGATGGAGACATCGATCAGTCAAGGATACGAAGGGACATGTTTATGGTAATAATGCCCTGTCAAATTACGAAAGCAATACCGCGGTCATCGGCGACACAAAGAAGCCAAAGACGACCCCAGCTGGCTCTAGATCCCTCGTAACGAAAGGCATGTGTGACTTGATAAGCAGTCGGCGCAAGGGCTCACTTCGTATGCGAAGAAGACCTTCTACAATGACACATGATAGCTCCAGAGGAACAGAAGTCAAGAGTACGGTTTCGTAGAACATCACCCTGCGGTATGATAGTGCTGCATGACGCCAACTTTTCATTGATACAACATGCTAATTCGAGGGAATTCATCGAACTCCCAATACATCAAGTCCAGCTCCTCTGGAAAGACACCCCGTCGAGCAACATGGCAATCTGGCAATTTGGGTACGGTCGTAAGCTAGGCCATAAACGCGAAAGGCAAGCCACCGGATATCGTCTAAACCTCTATCCTCTCGAGGATTCTGGAATCACTCTCTTCCCACGGATAAGTCTCTTCAATTGAGCGAATCAGAGTCTCGTGCTTGGCAGATCGAGGCTTGATGGAGATCTCAAATGGCTGCGGGTGGCTGATGACGCCCGTAGTGAACCTGACTGCCGGCTCAACGACCTTGCCGTCGACGATCGGCTTGGCGAAATCATACACGGTAAGTGACTGAGCGATATTGAGAAAGATGGAGTTATCGGCGAGGATGCGACCGGGGCAGATTCGGCGGCCGAACCCGAAGACAAACTTGTGAGGGTCCGCCTCAGGCTCGTGTCCGTCACTTTGAAGGAAGCGCTCGGGCTTAAAGTTCATCGGGTCGGGGTACCGCTCTGGGTCATGAGTGAACCACCTATAGACTTGTCTCAGCCAATGTAGCTATCTCAACGTGTTGACAGACTTACCAAATATTGGGTAGTACCATGGCTCCCTTCGGAATGAAGTAGCCCTCGAAAACGTCATCCTCCGTGCTAGAATGGGGCAGGCCCATGGGGCCAATAGGGTGCCAGCGCATGGTTTCTTTCACGAGAGCTTCGATGTAAGGAAGGTTCTCCCGATCTTTAGTAGTCGGCAATCTTCCACTACCAATAACTCTGTCGATTTCCTCCTGGGCCTTCTTCTGGATGTCGGGGTACACCATCATCGCCAGGAAGAAGGATGCGACCGTCGATACCGTCTGTAGGATGTTTAGTATGCAGTGTTTACTACAACGCGGTGCTCACGACAGAATTGACCGAGCCACTCACCGTGTCTGCACCTCCTCCAAATACAGCTAGCGCCGAGTGCTTGTGGTTGTGTTGGTCGAATAGTGATTGCTCAGGAGAGTCGAGAAGATTGGCCAAATAAGACGAGTTGTCCTTGCCCTGCGCTATTTGATGTTGGACGAAGGCATACGGTTTGTCTCTGGTCTCCTCCATCTGGGCTCTCCATTCCTTTGCGAGCTGTTTGAAACCGGTCCCAGGAACCCAGTTGGGTAGATATCGCACTGCTCAGAGTTAGGACAAGGGGTGTTTCGGGCAGGAACATGGCGCGAGACTAACGAAAGGGGAAAACATCAACTAAGAAGGCACCAGGCGTAGCGCCCGTCGAGAAGTTGTCCATGGTTTCGGTAATCATCTCGAGGAAGGGATCTTTCTTGAACTGTTCAGCTGTATAGCCGTACGTAATCTTGAGGATGAGGGAACCGGCTTCCCTGCATGATTTGGTTAGCGAAGAGCCACTAGACGCCTTTGACACAATCCATCTTTCCGCTTACTTCTTGATATGTTCTATAAAGTTTTGCGGGCTATCTAGCAGATGCAGAAGAAGATGCCCGACCTCGGCCTCTTGCCACTCGTTGTATTTTGCTGCAGCCATCTTTGAGCCGAGAATCCGGCCCATGGCCTTGCGCTGTGCGCGGAACCGTTCGTCATAGACGGCCATGCCGGTGATGTGCTCTAGACCGACCCTTTCTTCCTGTCAGAGGTTTCCACGGATCCGCAAGACATTCCAATACACATACATCTCGCCAATGAAAGTTTGTGAAGGTCTCGAGGAATGCTTCAATGAGCGCTTGTCCAAGAGATCAAAGGCAAGTTGTGGATCACTAAGTATTACAACTGTCTGGCCCATTGTTGTGATGGAGCTAATAGGACCTAAGACAAGCAAATTAGCTACGTCCTCTGAACGATGAAATCACACCCTCTCTCTGATAATGGATATCATGCCATCACCATTCAATACCAGAACTGACCATATAACTCCTTATGCTTCAACCAGTGAACGTAATCCAATTCGCCAGGTTTGGGTAGATCGTTCACATTACCCACAATCGGCAAACCTTTTGGGCCGGGGGGCAATGGGGGTCGCACTCCATTCTTCAACTTGTTCAAGACCCTCTCAACGATGAATGAGATGAGTAGAAGACCGAAAAATCCGACCGAAAGCGAAAATATCTCCATGGTCGCTTATTTGTTGTTCGACGATGGAGAAGCAGAAATCTTTCGGGGGCGTTCACTCCCGTCAGTAAATTTTGTGCTGCGCGCTTGCATCTTAAATACGATTCTTGCATCAAGACCCCTGAGCACTAGATCAGCCAGGCTACCGGGCTCCCGTGTTGCAATTGCCAGCAGTAGGGCCACAAGGTCAGTCCGAAGAGTGAGCACTAATAAACCTCGCCAACTCCATTTGGCAGTCAATGGTTACAGATTCAACTCTATCCTGGTCGGCGATGCAACATCTCGCTGACTACTTGCGGAGTCTGTCCCACTTTGCTTCGACCTTATTTGCTGTGGGAGGGTACACGCTCCGGACGCAGGTCTGTAATAGGGCTAAGGTGATGGATAACGCGTAGACAGCGATTTCAAAAGCGACCAAGGTGCCCCGTGGGGATCAGCGCTGCTCTGGCGAATCATTAGGCTTGGATAGATGATTAGGTATGGCTGGTTGTGCAGTTCTCATGCCATTTTCAAGGGCTTCCACATGCTATTTCGAGGTTGCATCCACTCCACACGAAGGTGACCAGGCCAGATTCGCGTAGCATAGAGGGGAACCCTGGAGATTCTGTGCTCAGTGATTTGCAAGCACTTGCGGATACCTGTAAGCTCGGCATTAATACTTTAATCACCCGAAAAAACGCTGGACACTTGCTGGCAATGAGTCGAGATACTAATGGAACACCGTCATCACGCATGTGGCTTGATACAACTACAGTAAATTGAAAGAGTTTGGCGAAAACTACATGAGTGAATTGAATCATTAATCAGCACGTTCACTTAGGACCAACGTCTCCAAAGTTGGCGACAGGAAACCAAGATAAGTGCGTCTTCTGCATCCATGCATTCCTAGTTGGTTATTATTGGGTGCTTACTTAGAAATTGAGTAGCAGGTAGCAGTCTTTGTCATGAATACGATGCTATTCAATTACAGATGCCACGTTGACCAAGTAAATTTACAGAAACCGCAAGAGACCAGTCCCTCGCCCATACTTGATTGAAAGGCTTTGACGGAAGGGTGTAGTAACAAGCTATCGATAGCACGGTCTCGCGACACTGTTCAGTCGACAGGGAGAATGATTCTGGCTAGGAGAACTAAACACTAACTCACACAGATCTGTTCCGAAAACTCTTGCATTTGGTGTGGTTTTTTTGCAATCGACGATATCAAATCCGCCATCGTCATTTCGATAATCATTTTCATAGTGTAGGCCATTGGGTGAGTCATAGCGTAGAGGAACGGTTCCTGTACAGTCATCATGACAATCATGAGGATCTTTAATTGGAAGAAAAGTCATTAACATTCCATGTAGGGTTTTATAGTTGAGTAATTGTAGTCAAGTCATATCGTTGTATCGATGTGAACACCGGGCAACTTACATCCATACATAATGAGATCAATACGAAGAGTACGCCGCAGTAAAATAATAGTCGGTACTTTTGAAGACCGTCGGCAACAAACTCATGTTGAATAATCCGTAGGAATACCGTGTTCAGCGAAATGTCGATTAGTAAATCAACAACTTTGTCGATAGGGTCCCAGATCTTGTGCAGATGAGTGAAATATTCCGGGTTGATAGAGTACCCTGCAACGTATATGCAGGTCACTGAAATATTAATGACCCCAACTATGGCCAACAGCCCAAATTTCATCATTTTTGCCCGTTTTTTATTTACTAGGAGAAGCCCTAGTCGATTCGCAAGTATTTGGGGAGCGAGTTGTGTTTGTAAAGTCCAGAGCATACAGCTTCCAATACCGAAACCAATGCTGCCACCCGTCAGCTAGTAAGACGAGCAGACAGGTTAAAACACGGCGGGACGTCCTACCTTTTTGAAAGGTCTCCGTGTGCTAGGAGCCAATTCATTATTGCTTGAGAGATATTGGCGAGGAGGAAGATCCAGATCCTGGGTAGAGTACGTCAGAACAGAGACTCAAATAGACCCGAGTAACTCACATCCAAGGGTACAATTTGGTCGCCGACTTTGTTCTTGAGTAGATCTGAAAGGTCTGCTGCGATGCCTTGAAAGTTGCCAGCATTGTTAAGCCTATAGTGATACCGAACAGTATCGCCGGGGCTTCGAGGGGATAAAACCCTGGGTCAGAATCTCGCGCAATCATCGAGGGTGATAAAGAGGAAGCGTGAATGAAGCATGGATGAATTCAGTTTGCAATTATTAGTTGTGGTGACTGATGTTGTGGATCGATTTAGCCATGAGTAAGGGTGGGACTTTCACGATTTAACTACTCCATCTCATCGTATGAGCATAGAGTTCGAGACTCGTCGATTCTGACTTCGTATCTCAGATGTATCCTAGTTCGCATGATCAAGCTTCGGCTAGTCTCTGACTGCAGACGCTAGACCATCCCTGCGACACAAGCTAGACGCCGGTATTTGCGGTCGATATCCGGCCCTACCCTTCTCTATATCCCTGCCAAAAAGTGTGCGATTCACTGACATGGACTATGGGACAATGAGAACATCCGTTCTGTGAAATGTCTTGCCCGTCAAGGCTGACAGTTTTGCTCACCTTCGGAAAGCTGGTCTGTTTAATGCTCTGCAAAATCCCGAGTATCATTCGACTGCCTCCTTGTTAGGGTGAAAAGTAAGTGACAAAGATCTATAACGATTCCTCTGTGGACCGGCCCGAACATAATCGCAACTTGATGCGTCTTCTCGGCAAGACGTGCCGAGGTGTCTGCCGCTGCTGAAATAATTGGAAATACATGCCGCATCGTAGTGGCGCCATCAAGGGCAGTGTGCAACTACAAGCGAGTGGACGTGATGCCACGTACATCTTATGGCTCCTCATTCTGGGTCTGATATGCAAGGGGTTGTGCAGGAAGTATGTGCGCCCTTGGGCGAGGGGCTGGGGGTGACCCCGATGTCATTCCTGTTCATTTCTTTTTCTTGCCACACTGCCAAAAGTAAGGCGCCACAGTCAGTGAATCCCGTTTTAGTAACCTACGTGCTCTACCTGGATAAGATGTCATCGATGAGATCTTCGCCGTGATGCAAAATCTTGGGTAAGCATAAGTGGAAATTTCCTTTGGTACAGGGCCCCTTATAATTGTCTTCCAGGCTCGTCAGAGAAAGATGTATCCCATCGTGCAGTGAGATGTTGCTGCGTGGTGGTCATACATCGCATACCACTTAGGTCCTGATCGTTGACGGCGTTTCAATCCGAGATGCTAGGACTGTGGATTTGTTGTCAGACTTTTTGACATGAGACGGGTTGAAGGTGCGTACGACATCGATCTCCTCTTCACACCTACCGATGTGGGATCAGTGGCATCTTAGGAGAACATTTGAGGAATCTTGAGGAATTTTGTGGAATGTGCCACGTTCGGATATCGTTGGATGTCCAAATTATACCGGGACGAGAATCAAGATCTGTAGAATGAGGCATCGTTTGCTGTTGGTTGTTGTTGACATATCCCATCGACTGTCATTTGCATGGTGCTAGTAAATAATAGGCATTTCCAGTCGTTTTGGAGTCCTGGGGTCTATGGATTTTCGGATTTGCGAAAATCAGGGAAGTGAGGACGGACTACCCAATGATTCGCTGTTGCCGTCCATGTCTACGTTCCATGTACAAGCGCCGTCTAGCATTTGTTCGAATAATCACCTTCATTCACATGACTTGTCGCGATTCTTCTCTTGGGGCTTGATAAATCATTTCTTGTTTTGATTTCCTCCTCTGGACTAAGGTTACTCAAACAGATCTATACTACAATTGTGGGAAAATATTGGGAATTACTTGAACTTACAACACAGATAGCGTTATATCGCCCTGGACCTTCGCTTTGAGATCAATGTCAACATCCAAATTCATATCTAGCTTCACCGACGGAGCTCCACTGCTGGACTTGGTCTGGAGTTGTTGATTTTGTTGGTTCTGGGGTCCAACCTGCTGTTGCGCAACTTGTCTGTGTTGCTTGGCTGGATCGTGTCGTTTACTCCTTGACCTTCGCGTTACGTACTGGACTCCGTCCTGCTGTGAGCTAGACTCCGACATGGATGCTGAAGCTCCAGTACTCAACCGCGGAGTCTCGTTCTCGATCTTCTCTTCTGTTTCGGTCTTGTGCGGTGGTTTTGCCTTTGGCGGCTGTTGCTGGGCTGGTTGCCTGTTCCCTTCTTGATCCATCTGGTCGGGCTTGGTGTAAGATGGTGTCGGATGCGACTTGTTTTCGCCGGCTTGTGTTGCAATGTTGAAGTAGCGCTCGATCTGCGTTTGTGCGTTTTGGCGAGTCGTCCCATGTGTGAGAGATATTATGACTTCGAGCTCTCGAGGATCAAGTTGTTCAGGTATGCATCGTAGTTAAGTCGTAAACATCCAAGACCGATTTGCTTATTTACCTGGAGAGACCTTCTTCCGCCGTCTAAAGTTCGAAAACGTGCATAGAATGACGTAGCCCCGCGAAGCTTGCTCATCATTCGCAGTCGAGCCGCGTGGGGACGTGTCGACTGAGGCCCATGTCGTCATGACATCACTCTCCCCTCTCGAAACCCGTCGCGGGGAACTGGAGAGCTCATGAAGACCTAGAACGTCTGATGTCCAGCCCACGTGGTATGCCTGGTACCAACGAAGCTTGAAATGCGTCTTTAAAGTTGCTTGATGTCGGACTTTTTAGACTTCGTGGATAGGACAAACCATCGACTTTGAGCGTTATTATCGGGTGCCGGTCGGGGGTGGGGCCATCGGACCGGAATGCAACTCGGAAGACCCTCGCTCATGTACCCGGCTCTCCGAGGAACGCTGGTACTATGTATTGATAAGTCCACACTTATCAGGGAGATCGCTCCGCCCCCACATTGCAGTCTGGCACTCTAGTCTGGCAGATAGGTTGCATATGGTGTCGTCTATGTCTCAAGCTCAAAATGTAGTTTTACCGACTTTCAAAGCTGACAACGACTCGCTGAGAAAATGGACGAAGTCGAGATGCAGCTGGAAATTGCGAGTCGTGCTATCAATATGGCTCAATTTGTGCAGGTAGTATACCTGTCAGGCCACCTTCACCTTCCAGAGACGCTCTCTTCTTTAGCTGTTGCTAGTGCATCGGACCGCAATTTGCACCTGGCTTGGAAATGGTGACACTACCCACGTTTGACAGATGGGAACTGATTGGCATTCCGCAAGAGCATGATCCCGTTACTCATTACAACGTGATAAGCACTATATGAATATCGACAGTACCCGTGGGTTATGACCTTGTAGTTGGGGTCTCTCCGCCTGAGGTATGAACTTGAAAGCCATCACAGAGAGTCGACTTCTCCAAGCGATTCGGATTTGTGGACCTTGAAGCTGATAGCTTAGATAGCAAATTGGCAACATTTACAAAGATATGTGGCTCCAGTCGAGGCCTGACGTGCTCCAGACCGAAACATCCAAAATAAAGTGTGTTCACATTGCCCAGAATCTAGACTAGGCGAGTGATGAACAAAGATACATTCTCAGAGCCTGCACTCCGAACGATAGTGGTGGTACCTTGAGGCAAACTTTTGGCTTAAGGAAACACAGTTTCAGCATACTTCTCCTACCAAGAGATGCCGGTACAGAACGATGGACATAATACTGCTCGCCTTTAGAGGAAGTCTCAATGGCATGAAAGCGTATCGATCGATGCTCTGGAAAAAGCTAGCCTTCTCGTCTCCATGTCTCAATCTTCGCATGACAACTTCATCTCGCTCTGCGCTACTGGAAATTAACTTGCGGTTGTATTTTGAACAAGACGACGATAAAGACGCGTAACACTGGATTGGAAGCGCGTGTAATTTTTGCATTGCGCATACTGTGGAAAAGATCTTTGGTAACGCAGGACGGATCAAGGATAATGTACTAGTAGACGGGCCTCGAATCATCGGAAGACCCGATGTGTCTCTCAGAGTCTGCATGGCAAGGCCTCCATTGGCAGCTTTCTCCGGAGGAAAATGCCGGAATTGAGGTTCCGATTATGAATATGTTGTCAGACAGTCAAAGGTGTAAGCACTCGCCCCCACGATGGTCTACCTGATGGTGGGCCGATGTCGCAAGTGGGCACGGAAACATCCTTGTGCTGCTTGTTGGCTGGCATCTAGGCATAGGACTGGCTTCTCGGCGGCTCTTGCCTCGGCGGTAGTCGGAAAAGAGTCTCAGCTAGGCAAACCGAGCTTGGCGGCCGTAAGAGTAGCTCAAGGATCGATACTAGCAGCGGCCGACTGTGGATTCATGCTAGTCAAGTGCTAGAAGAGAGATTTTCATCCCAAATCAAAGTCCCCTGATCGTGCTTACAGGCAGACCACCTCTCAGAGATCTGTGGGTCCGGCCTAGGTCAGGAAAGCTCTATGAGTGGAAAATGTAGCATGGTGCTATGAGGGTCGAAAACCATGGCACTAATGTGGCGCCACTGACCTAGCTGGTTCTCCTACGGATACGGGCGGGTTGGCATGCTTGGCCCAGCAGCTCGGTTCCGTGGTGGGAGACCGTATGCAGTAGCCTCGAAAGTGTCACTGGGGGTCCGTCCTGTTGTGTGATTGTTGGAGCCTCGCCACTCCCATGTAGTGTCTGTAAGCAGAAAGACGCGAGTGACGATGATTTTGCCCTGAAAATAAAGAGTCAGGGTGTCTGACGCTTAGCATCATGTGGCGTTACTACTCGAGACCGCCGTCTTTGCTGCAGGCGCCATTGACAAGCTGTAACTACCTTATTCGGTCGGAATCCGAGCAATGGGATGGAATCCCAGCGAAGTTTGAAACATCGTTCACGCAGCCAGACGAAGAGCATCTGTGGACTAGGTATGATAAAGTGCCGTGAAAGGCGCGAAGAAATGTCATTGGTGCATATGCGGCCTGCTGGTCCGATGTAAGGCAGTGTAGGTATTTGTTAGTCAATGGGGAACCTAAGCAGGATCTTGATGTTTCTCGCCTGCGGCACAGCAAAATTCCGGCGGAGCATCCGTAATAAGAATACTCGTAAGCTTGAAGGGCCGATAGTCGGGTCTTTACACAGCCGCGGTAGAGAAACACTCGTCGGGACGCGCACTTGACCAATATTAGACTGCTCTTGGGTCTCGAATAACAGACAGGTAGACGAGCAAACGAGAACGAAAGACTTCCGCCAGTGGATGAAGCTCGATTACAGCGCGGCAGCATCGGAACGGGATGTTCGCGCCAAGGTCAACTCTAATAAGGTGACAGGACGGGATGGAGAGTTGCACAGGTACTGAAAGCCAAGGCCAAGGCTGGGCAACCGGACCATTCTGGTAGTGAAGCTGGCAGAATGCTACATAGATCGGACCGCAATGCGACGGTGATGGCTCCAGGTACGCGGATGCAAGCAAGCAAGATGGCAGGCTGGCAGCGCGTGCCCAGCCCAGAATGGAGAGGTCATTGACGTCCAGCCCTACGTTGCAGAGTGGGACTTCGGTGGGATCAGCTGGCTTTCGTGTAGATTCCTGGGCGGAGCAACAGATTGGACAATCAAGAGGAGAAGAGCTTTGTGTCACTGGGCGACGAGACGGGAATAGGTGCAAATTGGAAGTTCAGGCGGAACTGGCAGATGCGATATCTTACCTGAGGCAGCGAGATGATCTGATAAGATTAGAAAAAACGGGGCGGCATCAGATAAAAATTTGCTTCGGCGCCATTGGAACGGCCCCACAGCCTAAAATGACACCACAGGCGATGGACCAACCAATGGCCAGCTTTTGAGGACCTCCTTCCCTGGAAATGGGTGGGCAACAGTGGGGTTCCTTCGGTTCCTTCTGCCTTGGTGTTTGTTCCTGCCGACTTGGACGCGCTGGAAAGTGACAAATTCCTTCCTGGCAGGCACACGCTTCCACTGTTGGCACCCACGCATCATTCTTTCCTTCCCGTTCCCGACCAAAACGTCCGCCAGCCGTGCGTGGCAGGTACCTTAGGCAATGGCACCTTCCGGGCTTCTAAACTGGAAGGAGTGACATCTCAGATGTATCTATGTAATCAGCATCCGTCCCCTCTTTCCCTCCTCCGACTGTCCTACGGTGGCGATGACTGGCTGTTTCCATCTTTCTCCGCTACACCTCGGCCCTGGTCATGCTTGAAGTGAAGCTTTTCTTCATCCTTAATTCTCTTGCCGAATCGCGACGAATCGTCCGGCAGAGAGGACCACCACCGGGCCCCGCAATCTGGAAGGCAAAAAGGACTTCTGTATCTCTCCGACGGCCTCCAGTGTCTCTCGGGTCCAAGGTAGAGGATCCTCCCTAATCATCCCGATTCGATCTACCTTACCAACGTTTGTTTGTAGAGAAAGCCATCCAGAAAGACAGGGCAGTAGACGACCCAACGATTCATGCAAGGCAACAAGCGCAAGCATCTCGCGATTAATGATCCTACCACTACAACCCTCCATCGCTTTGCTCCTCGGGTCTCGCCACGCGCAGGACACCATGAAAGGCTCATCGCGCGACGATCTCTCCCTCCAAGATCCGCTAGCATAGCTTCTATATACCTCATCCCGATGTGCGCCCCAAGACAAATGCCTACGGCCACGCGAACTGGTTTCCGGGCAATCTGACATGTGAGGCCCTCCGCCAGCGCCAAGATGCGACGACCAGTCGTGCCAGTGAACCGACGCTGGTAACCGAGCTGCAGCTAGAACTTCATTCGGCGCATCGGCTCACTTGACTGCCACCCTACCTCCGATTCACACGCCTACCGCCTGCGTGCCCTGTGCATCCGTCTGTTCTGCCCGTTGGAACCCAAGGTCCCAAGCAAGGAATACAACCTAGAACCCTTCCTTTCCGGACGCCTTCCAGGGGGATGGCTTCCCTGGATCCCCACATGGTCCGAGTCGCCCAACGTTCCGGGCCAAGTCAGCTCGGTAAACTGGACGCCATTTCGTAATTCTGTGTCCACGATTTCCCGTGCACGCTGCCACTGAATCATCCCGGGCTATTCGAGTGGAACGCTGGTCAGCTCTCTCCTGCCTTGGGCCTTTTCAACAGTCTGTCCCACGCGGGCAAAGTCACTCTCGGCCACCGCTGGCTCTTACATCCGATGGATCTCTCCACAGCCCAGAATTCCACTCGGGGTTAAAGGTTCTTTTGCTCTAGGTGGACACACAGCTACACGAACAAAGTGGTGCTAATGCTGCATGGGGGTGGAGAGCTAGCTCTGACCTTACACTAGTGGTGCCACCCGTCAACCATTCTTGACCTTGCCCTCGCCGAGCCGATGGCGGTTACACGACTGTCCAGCCAGCTCGCGCAGCTTTCGGCGTGTAATACTTAGACCCGGCATCTGCCCTGCCTACCAGTGGTCTTGCGTCCCGGCATCAAACTCTCTCGGACGACAACAGAAGACACCCTTTTCTGTTGCTCTCAACGCATCTGAGCCTGGCCGCTGCCAACATCATCCGCCCAGCATAGCCAGACGTTCGAACGACACAATCATGGGCTTGTTCTCCAAGAAAGCTCCTGTCGAGGAGCAGGTTGCTGCCGAACCTACTGGATCTCCCCATTACGACGAGAAGACGACGGGCGAGCACCCCGGTGATAGATCAAGCGATGACGAGCCAATCTCAAAGGACCTCCAGGCCGGTGTCGCCAAGGTCGAGGCCATGACAACCGTGTGGACAAAGCGCGATCTTATCATTGCTTACATCCTGTGAGTTGCACATACGATGCCCAGACAGGGATTGGTAGCTATCTGGACGATGACTGACTGTCTGTAAAGGATCTGGTTGTTCTATGTTGTTACCTCTATCCAGGAGGTCTCGATGCGCGTCTTGTCCCCCTTCGTCACTAGCTCTTTCGCCATGCACTCGTTGACAGCCACGACTGGTGTCATGTCAACCCTCATTGCCGGCCTGATTAAGTTACCGCTTGCCAAGATTCTCGACACATGGGGCCGTCCTCAAGGTCTCGGTATCATGCTCATCTGCTGGATTCTCGGCTTTATCATGATGGCTGCTTGCAACGGCGTCGAGACTTATGCTGCTGCGCAGGTCTTCTACTCAGTTGGGTAAGTAATGAGCTTCCCAGATGACCACCCTTGACCAGTACTAACACCCTAAAGATCCCAAGGTATCTCCTACTGCATTACTATTTTCATCGCCGATACCTCTACTCTGAAGAGCAGAGCTCTGATGCTCTCGTTCGCAACGACGCCATACATCTTCATTACCTGGGCAGCTGGCCCCATCACCGACAGTATCCTCAGAGAGGATGGCATCGGCTGGCGTTGGGGTCTTGGTATGTGGGCTATCGTTGCTCCCGTCGTTATCGGACCTCTTGTTCTCCTTTTCCTCTGGAACCAGCATAAAGCGAAGAAGATGGGCGTCATCGACAGCCGCGGTTCGATCAAGAACATCTCTGGCGCCAAGATTCTCAAGTTCCTCATTGATGTCGATGCCCTTGGCATCCTCATTCTCGCTGCCGGCATGGCACTGTTCCTGCTGCCATTCAACATCTACTCCTACCAGACGGAAGGTTGGCGCTCTCCCATGATCATTGCCTTCATTGTCGTCGGTTTCTTCTTGATCATCGGCTTCGTTGTTTACGAGAAGTTCTTCGCCCCCGTCACCTTCATTCCCTTCTCTCTTCTGATGGACAGAACCGTCTTCTTCGGTGGCATGATGTTCGTCTTTGTGTTCTTCAACTCTGCTGTCTGGGGATCCTTCTTTACTTCCATGCTCATGGTTGTCTGGAATACATCCACCTCTCAGACCACCTACATCAGCAACATTTACCGAACGGGCTCCTGCTTCTTCTCCATTATCATCTCCTGGCTCATCTACCGCACCGGACGCTTCAAGCCTTTCGCTCTTTTCTTCTGCATTCCTTTGATGATGCTCGGCGTTGGCCTCATGATTCATTTCCGTCAGCCTGACCAACCTCTCGGCTACATTATCATGACTCAAATTTTCGGTACGTCGCGCAACTCTGAAGCTCTTCAACGTTCTCGTTCCTAACATTCAATACAGTCGCGTTTGCTGGTGGACCCACTGTCATCTGCGGAGAGATGGCCATGCTCAGTCCCTCCGACCACGCCCACGTCGCCGTCATCATGGCCATCCTGGACCTCTTCGGTAGCATCGGCTCCACCGTTGGTTACACCGTCGCCACTGCCATCTGGACCGGTACTTTCAGAAAGAATATTGCAAAGTACACTCCTGCAGGCACCCCAGTCGACACCATTTATGGCGATATCTACCAGCAGCTTAGCTACGAGGTCGGCAGTCCCGAGCGCATTGGCATTCAGCGTGCCTACGGTGACTCGCAGCGCATCATGCTCATCACTAGTATCTGCCTCCTGGTCGGTGCTCTTGGCTCCGTCGCCATGTGGCGCAACCTGAACGTCAAGAAGATCAAGCAAGTGCGCGGAAACGTTGTTTGAAGAGTAGTTGACGATGATAATACCCCACATAGCCTTGCTCTATGATATAAAAGCGACTTTTTCTTCATCTAGTCGATCCATACTAAGGACCGTCAATCTACATACTATTCATTGGGTTTAATCTACAAGTTGTATAAAAAGCCATTTAAGAAACATTGATTATTAATATGAATTTCACCTTTGACTTTCACTTCAATATGCCCTGATCTTCATTATGATGAATTTAAGCATACCAAGACCGCTCCTTGTCAGGGCCTTGGTGTACTCTAAAATATTTTTCATCCTCAAGCATCTTTATGAAGGTCTTTCCTCATCACGCCCTTCAAACTCTCCTCCGAGATCTTGATATACTTATCAGGCGAGACACTATCTTCGAAAGGAACCCTCAACCACTCATCTGCCTGCGCAATCTTGCCCGCCCTCAACTTGAGATCAATAACACCCGAATACTCAAACGGCAACCCCGTCGCCTTTCGTCGTCCCAGGTCGTTGACGAAAATCCCCTTGTTGACGGTCCGGAAGCTGCAGTACCCGTTGCCGTCGGCGTCCATCTCGGCCCAGTAGACGGGGTACTGCTTGTCGAGGTAGACTTCAAAGTCCTTGTGCGCGCCGTTCCAGTGTTTGTGGTGGCGTTTGAGGAAGGCGTAGGGGACGTGGATTTGGGCGCCGTGGTCTGTCATGCAGGAGTCTGTTGTGAAAAGAGCTAGAAGGGGTAATGGGTCGCGAGCGGCCCAGGCGTGGCAGTAGATTGTGGGGAGGGATTCGAGGTCTTTCGGGGGTGTGGTGGCCATTTTGATGGGGTTTGGGGGGCTTCAAAAGGTGTAGTGGGCGACTGGAAGTGACTGAACCTCCCAGATTTAGGTTCATTGAATCGAGGTGGTTCGACGCGTTCAAGGTGACTCACAGAATCGTGTCTTAATTCTGACTTTACGAGGAGGAACGACCTCGTCTTTTTATCGATCAAGAAGGTCGCCCAGGGTCGGGATGGTGGTTGGGGAAGCTCCGTCACGAACTTGACTGAAGATCGAATGAAACCGGAGGCGTCAAGTGGTGTTGATCGGACGAAGAACGGATGTGACGTGATGGGTTCCATGTGGCTTACCCGGGTTGCGGAGCGAAGGATTTGGAGATGTGTGGGCAGTGAGTTAACCAGAAAATGAAACGAGAAATTCAGATAACTAACTTACTAACAGAATCGATTATTCGGCCAGATAAAAGCACTTCAAAGAGCAGTTCATGCCCAAAGCCTTGAGTATACCTACTTAGCTGCCTCGAGCTATTGGGCATGTTGATGAATACTGGTCTCACGGTTGAAAGCAATGCCCAACCCATAAAGCCTGACGATTCATTCCCAGGTGCATTGAGCGGTCCGAGCATCTTTCTCCTTCATGAGATACCGGGTGAATTCGCAGAGATGTATTAGGACTACGCACGCCACGCGTGGCGGTCTTTCGTATTGGAATTACTGTTTTCAGTTGAGCGCGTGCTTAGGGCATACTATATATACCGCGTAGTCAGAAAGTATACTGTATTGTGTGTTTTCCTTTTGAGAGCCTGGTCATGTCGAGGTCGATCTTCTGGGCTTGTAAAGCTGGGCGGAAACCAACTCTAACAAGGACTCCGATTCGGGAGCGTTAAGCAGAGCACACTCGTGAAGTCCTACCCTTACTGTAAAGAGCATATCCAATCGACCTACTCGCCGTTGGCGGGCCTTGCAGGCTGCACCTTTCATTGGCCATGGAATGCTTACATTTCGCCTTTCGTGAGTAAGATGGTTGCCTGGACCTCAACTGGGCTGCAACATCATGCCCAATTAACTACGTCGAAACCAGATCACGACATAAACAATACTCTCTCGGTTTCGACTATAAGCAAGAGAAACTTTCTTTACTCGCAGCCTGATGGCCATGCCTTCAGGAATGTGTTTCTTCTCCTTGTTTACAACTATGTCCAAGCAATCGATCGGCTTCATACATCAAGTCTCGAGGTCCTCCGGCGCCTATCTACGACCCTTCAAGATAGCCAAGCCACACGCAGAGAACATCAACAAATTTCCCAGCTTCTCACACATGCCAACAGGAGCACAGTGGCTCTGGTGGACGTAGATCGTACTCGACAGTTTGGAGCAGCTTTTGAGGCAGTCACGTACCGAGATGGCTTCGAGGAAGTCGTGGTCAATGACGAAGAGCGCCCCGTCAGTCTCTGTCTTTGTTGCAGAAAGTTTATCCGAACGCGACCCAATATCTTCGTAAGAATTCGCGGGGGATGACGAGGAGGACGAGGCTTTTTGGGAGAATCATCACACGACTTTCTTCCAGCTCATGGATTGTTGTTACATTTCAGATCAAGGCTGCCATTTGTGTCATCTCATATGGCAGGCTTTCCGAGTTCAAAGGCAACGACAACACGATCCTATCACGGGTATCATGACAGAGGCTTATAAGCTGATATGGCACAAAGGGAGCTTCAAGCTTTCAGTCACACGTCGTATGGAGAGCTTTTCTGACGATCACACCCTCCTCCTCAAATCCAATCCAGGTAGTGGGCAGAAACAGGAAGACAATGAATTCAAAGGAATTCGATGCAACTATTCTAGATCTCGGTAAGCTCCGCTCACAGGTACCTATGATCAGACCATTATGTTGACGAAGATCTCAATCAAGGACCTCCTGGCAAATACCCAAATACATTTCACCCAAGCATCGGGGACAGCACCGACTCTCACCAAGTTATCGCGCAGCTTCCTGCCCGGTTGAAAATTTGGCGATCGTCTCATGATAATTGCCGCCGGTCGTCCCAACAAAAGCCGACCAGACTTGTCCGAATCGACTGGACGAATCAGAAGATAGGTGTTGTGCATGATATCGACTCCGACGAAGAGTATATTGCACTCAGCTATCGATGGGGTGATTCTGCATCCGCATACTGCTTAACGACAAAGACTATGACAGAATTGTCTGCGGTTGGTGGTGTCAGAATGGAGTGCTTGCCTCAAGTTATCAAGGACGCCTGTCGCGGGTGTAGCTGTGTTGGTGTGAAGTATCTGTGGGTCGACAGGCTTTGCATACTTCAAGATAGGGTCGACGACTGGGATACGGAGGCATCTAGAATGGCTTCGGTATACGGCAACGGTCTTTGCACAATAGCTTGCGAGCTGTGCCGCTCATGATGACCAGATTCTCTCCAGGAAACGTAAACGTCTCTGTCATCAGCCCCTTCGTCTGAGCCGGTGTCCGCTCACCTCGGAACTCTCCCAGGAACCTTTGCTGGCGGTACCTCGTTGTGTCCATCTTTATGTGGAAAAAGATCAGACGAGCTCTCTTGCAACGCGTGGTTGGGTCTTCCAGGAGCGACTTCTTTCACGAAGGACCATCTATTTTGCCGAAGAGCAAGTCTACTGGGAATTTTTCGAACAGAAGGCCAACGATTCCTGGCCAGAGGGATGGAACTCGAAAAAGGAATCGTATCACCAGCAAATCGCAGAGATGGCCGAGGACATAGACCATTCGAAGGCAATGGCTGAATGGGACAATGTCGTTCAGGCTTACACGGAGACGTCATTCTCAAAAGGCAAGGACAGATTACCAGGTCTTTCTGGTCTCGCACACGATTTTGAAAGCCGATGCCTCAATGAACAAGATACTTATCTTGCCGGTATGTGGAAATCTCACATCATACAAAATCTTCGCTGGATGGCTCGAGCATTTCCCGGCAGTACCCTTTACAAATATTCTCGATTCAACTTTCCCGAAAAGTATAGAGCCCCTTCTTGGTCATGGACTAGCCTTGATCTACCAGTTGAGTGTGGCTTTTCGATGGGGTATGGAAAAGAGAGCTCTCTCGGAGACTTCAGGGATGCGCAGCTGAGCTTCAAAGGCAATGATCCGCACGGTGCAATGTGCGACGGATGGCTGAAGCTCTCAGGATTCTTGAATCAAGTCACGGTCAATTGGGCCGATTTCGTTCTGAGACAAGGGGGTATTGATGGGATTAAACACGTCATCCGAGGGCCTCAAGGAGATGTTCTGGATGGTCTGAGTTTTGACAAAGTGCATTTGGACTTCAATATGCACAACGTTTGGCCATGGCCCGAAATCCTGAGCAGACAGATATTTTGTCTTCCTTTGGTACACTATGATCTTGGCGACTCAAAGTACTACAACAAATGTTTCTGTTTGTTTCTAGCTCACAAAGGAAATTCTTTTCATCCTCGGCCGAGGAAGAAGAGACTGATAACCTCAAAGAGAGAGAATGCAGTTGAATATCAAAGAATTGGGGCGGGAGTGGTTTCTTATGAGTACGAACATAGCAGGTTGTGGGGTGAGTGGCTAGCGAGGAGTCCAAGGCAGGACGTTGTAATTCGTTAGCTAGACTCCAAGGTAGCTGAAATCCTCCCTTTAACGCTCAGACTCCTTTCTCTCAACGTCGATTGTCTCTTATTCTGAGGGCCGAGCTCCGTTCCAGTATGACTGACCCGAAAGCCTTCAAAGAACCCAATGCAGGCATGAAGCACATTCTATCATCATCGATGAGTCTTTTGACAGTATGAGATATTGAGTCTATGTTGCAAAAATGAAATCATAAAAACTCTGAAGCTTGAAACACGTAACAATAAGTCAGCACCAGCCTGCTCTATCGCCTCGACCCCGGAATCACCGCAGTCACTTCAGCACAAACGAGCAATGAAACCTACACTTTCGCGAGCAGTCCAGGTCAATCATCGCTCTAGGTAGTATCGTCACCTCGTATCTCGTTGGAACCTGCATCGGCGGTCTCCAGTCAGGCTGGCTCGTAGACAATTCAGTCTTCATTATGTACGCAGTGTCGGCCAGCCAGTCTTATACATCTAGTCCCCCCTGTCGCCGCAGGGAGAGATATTAGGCGTAGTGGTGCTTTTCAGGAAACGAGAGACATTCAGCTTGGTAAATGGGTTCGTAGAATGCTGGAAGTAATAGTGCTATCATTAGAGACAGAGACTAATGGCGCTGTTGTATTTGAACTCGGAGGATAGCGATAGTGGGGAATTTGGATCATATAGTGAGCGACTACTACATGTAGGTTTTAAGACTCTCGGGGTATGAATTGATCTTTCTTTCGCCTCACTACAAAGAATGCTGTCAAATTCACGCAGCCACGAGTACTCAATAGTGCAACTTCTTGTTGACCACATTAATGAGAGGCTTGCCAGCATCTATACGCTCCAAGTTTGCCTCCAGAACTCCTAGAACTCGCTCCCAGTATCCATCTGTTCTCCAACTGACGTGAGGTGTAATGAAGACATTGGGCGCCTTCCACAGTGGGTGATCTTTCGGAAGCGGCTCCGGATCCGTGACGTCCAAAGCAGCCGCCCGGATCTTACCACCCTCGAGAGCTTCGATAAGGGAGTCGGTCTGAATCAAGGGACCTCTGGCAACATTTGAAACAAAAGTCTTCCGCTTTGACAAGATCTCAAATTGCTCTTTGCCAATCAGTCCTTTCGTCTCCTCTGTTAAAGGCAGACCGAGTACCAATAGATCGAGGTCTTGGCTCAAGAAGTTGTTAATGGCTTCTTTGGAAGCGCCGTGGAACCACTTAGCAGGGACCAGTCCATCGGGGTCTCCAGTGCCGGGAACGCAGTAGCTGTCGTCTTTGCGAGACTCGAGTGTTGCGCGCTCGCTTCTCGTATACGCATACACCTCCATTCCCATTGCTTGCGCAACCTTACCACACTGGCGCCCTATGGCACCATAACCCAGAACACCCCTAAGTCGATCGAGTCAGCAGCTCCTTCTTTCCCTCACGAAGAACAGCGCGGGCGATGACTTACATGCGAAGTCCGACTGAGTCTTCAAAGTCTACTTCCATCGGGCCTTCCCAAAATCCTTCCTTCATGTGATTATGATAGCGCTGGAAATGGTGCTGGTGCGCGAGCCATGAACCAATGACCCATTCCGCGATCTGGGGCCTGCAGATCACGTCAGTCACCAGGTTATTGCATGAAACCAGTAGTAGCACAGTAAGAACTCACGGATGGCAGCCATTTGTAGTGCAAAATGAAACCTTAGGGTCCTTGTAGACATCGTGGTCGAGCCATCTATCGGCGCCTGCAGAGGTCAACTGCACGAAGCGAACCTTAGACAAGCGATGAGCAGACGGCGGGTTGAAGGCCATGAAAATCGTCACATCTTCCCACACCTCATCCGGCAGCTCATCTGGCAGAAGAAAGCCGCCACCAGGCCTCAAGTTGGACTCCCAGCAGACTTTCAGGCCGGCGAAGCGCTGAGAGATCCTGCTTGTCCATTTCGTGTCTTCCGGCGCTGAGAGAAATACCAAGAGCTTGTCTCCTGCCAAGGGGCTTTGACGGTTTCCAAGATCTCCCATCTTGATGATCTGGTCTTTGTCGCGGTCGTTCAACGCCAAGAGTTGGAAACTGTTGTGCTGAGGTTATTCTCAAGCTTGGTCCGCGGCAAAGTGCTTCGACAGTCTACTGCTTGGAATTTAACAAAGAGTATCCACGGTAGAGGGTTTCCGATAAGGAATCTACGGGCTCTGATAGGCTAAAAATGGGAAAATGACTGGGTATTACTTAGTAAATCAATCGTTTGTCAGACGTGGGCCCCCCGGTACTCCGCAGTCGTCCCGAGACCGGGAACTATCCGCGATACCGGCTGTCTATCAGCAGCGCAAAGAACCCGGGCCGGCGTGGTGTTGACCTCCCTATCTGACAGATAACGAGCCTTTACCTTGGTCCGGCATGGGCAGGCCGATATGAACCGGATATCCCTCTCAGTTCCCGGTACGAATTAACATTTTCTGCTTCAAACACGGTGGACACGCTTGTAAAGCTGAGCGTGGGCTAGCGCACGAGTCAGCACTTACGCGCCGACACGGTTACCAACAGAGATCATCCGACCGCAGCTGAGAATACAATTTCCTAATCAAGCCTTTCTTACATGATGGACGAACGAATCACTTGTACCATCGTCAGGAGATCTTGGATCCAGTAGACGAGATACAAGCCTCGAGTCCCCAGGCAGAGTGGCCGCCATCTCCGCCTACCCCAGCTTGTACTGTTGCGGGGTTGCATGTTTAATATGCCTCAACCCCCGCCAGCCTCAGCAACTCTGGAGTAAGCTCAGGTTTCTCCAACGGCTCCATTCTTCTATTGTCAACAGTCCCATCCGGCAGGGTTGGCTGATTTGTCCTCGGAACAATGTTGTCATGAGGCCAATGCGTCGTAGCCAGCCACTCGTCGAAGGCTTTCTTCTTGGCTTCGAGGGCTGCCTTCGTCGCAAAAGATGCAGGAGCATACGACACATATGTGATGGTCCGTATGGTATTGCTCTTTGATGTTGGCTCGGCCCCGAAGTGGATCAGTCGCGAATCCCAGATGATCAAATCACCTGGTTCCGCGACAACCTTCTGCTCCCGATAGCCTTCCTTCTCGAACCATGCAATCTGCTCAGTCGTGTAGTTGAAAAAGTCTATTCGCGTCCACTCCGACTTGTCGGTATGCTCTCTGAAAAACGACTCGGTGATCTTGTGCGTTCCCGGGTATACCGTCAATCCGCCGTCCTCGATGCCAGCCTTTGAGAGGTTCACTATGCCCTGAACGCACTCTAGGCCTTGTCTGTATGGGCTCTGGTCGACATGAGGCCACTTTTTTCTGGGAATATGACCTTGGCGTCTTGGAAGTGTGATGTTCAGGGCATCAAAGGAGACGATAAGGTCGCGGGTATTCCATACGTTCGCGAAGACGTCGATCACGCCTGGTTCCAGGCGTATGTCCCACATGAACTTCTCGTGCACAACTCCGTAATGGTTCACTGTGTTGATTCCGGAGATGAATGGCAGATTGTCGGGGGTCCATGTTGTGGGGTCTGCTAGATCCAACGCGGCGTTGTCGAAGGACTTGAGCCACGCGAAGGCCTTTTGCTGATACTCGATAGCTTTATTGTAAGGGATTACCGATGGAATGACCGCAAAGCCATGCTCAGTGAATTGTCTGTACCAATATGGTCTCGTCATCTTCAATTTGATATTGGAATTATGGATGGTGCGAAAATCTTACTTTCTTCCAAGGAAAGGAGGTATGTGACTCTTCACGCAATGGAAGAGTCCTGTACATATTGTTTTTATGCATTGAGTTGTTTTTACCAAGCATAAACCATCCAAAGAGGGGTATGATTA